GATGACGGGCTGGAGGTCGAATCAATCACCAAAAGCCAATGGTTTAATCAATGGTGTCTAAGTAATGAAGCGTCCACGAAAGCCAAAAATAGGGTGAGCGCACGGGGGTGCTGGTGGGTGGGGCTCCTGGAGGGGGCAGGGCGGCCCTGCCCCTGCCCCACACCTCGCCCTGGCCTCTCTCCCCCCTGCTGTCCCTGAGTTGTGCCCTTTATTATAAACCGGTGATCTAATGAGTAAATGAGTTTCCTGAGCTCTGTGAGCCGCTCTAGCAGATTAACAGAACCTGAGGAGGGGCCACGGAGCCTCTGATTCACAGCTAGTCAGTCGGAAGCACAGCCGACAACGTGGACCTGCGCTTGGCCCATCCAGTGGGCAGGGCTGGGGTGCGCGGTCTTGTAGGACTGAACCTTTACCCTGGGCAGGGACTCTGACCTTATCTCCGGGTACACAGGGTCAGAAATGACTGGAGGCCAGGAGAAAACTGCTTGGAGATGTGGGATCCCCTGCAAACACCATAACCGGTGCAGGCTTTTCCTTATAAGCTCAGGGGCAGCTTGTTTTATGCACTCCAAGGGTCAGATTGTGGGTGGAGGGGCCGGTCAGCCTAGCGGTGGCCACTCCTGAGGAAGGGCCGAGGATGGGGGAGCTGAGCTGGGGGGCCCAGCTCCCGGAGCTTGTCTGTCCAGCAGTAGGGGCAGGGAGGCAGGGTCAGGAGGTGAGCGTGAGTTTGCTGCTGGGAGGCAGGCCCCTGCTGGCCAGGCACCAGGGCAGGGGAGAGAAGCTGGTGCTCACGGGGCAGAAAGAACACGCCTCCCCACTGCTGCCCGCCTGGAAGCTGTTGGTCTCCTGCTGCGCCCAGCTGCGCTGAACCCAGCGGCAAGCGCAAGGCCCACAGAGCCAGCCCACCCCAGGTGCTGTGCCGGGGTCGGAGCATGAGAAGTGGGCGGGGGCTGGACTGTGAGCCCCCTCCCCCGCATGGTCCCAGGGCAGCTGAGTCTATGGGCGATCCGACGCCCTTCCTCCTCCAGGAGCTTGAAGCCACATGCGCAGCAGAGTGAAACCTCCCTCAAGACTATCGGACGCCCCCCTCTTGTTCAGAGGGTGACCCTGGCAAAGGGGTGTCCTGTGCCCTCCTGCCCTGCAGAGTGAGGGGCCCAGGGTGTGGAGTAGCCCTGCGCCCTGCCCCCAGCTGCTCTCTTCTTCCTCTCTGGCCCCCACTCCCAGCAGAGAGTGCGGACAGCTCAATCCCCAGCCCGGCCACAGGCACTGCCAGCTCTCCAGCTGGGAGTGAAGCAGTGGCAGGTGCGGCTCGGCCGGGGTCCCGGAGCCATGGCCAAACAGGGACAGAAGCGCTGAGGCCTCCAGGGCTGGCAGGAGGGGTGCTGCAGGCAAGAGGGACCTCCTCGCTGGGGCGCGGGGGCCTCAGGGGTCCTTGGCGGCGGCACCCGTGCCGGAGAGCAGGGCTCTGCTCTCCCTGTCCTTGCTGCCGGGGGTCCCTGCGGGAGGAAAGATGCTCAGCCGGCCCCAAAGGAGGCAGAAGATGCCTTGGGACCAGGCCGGGAAACCCCTCACATCTGCTGTCAGAATGAGCTCCAGATGCGACCCCTTCTCCTTACCTTCAAGGCCACCCCAAGGTCCCAGCCCCACCACTTCCCCTGGTGATGCAGAGCCTCCGGTGGCCCCCTGCCTCCACGCTGACACCCCTAGTCTGTTCCCCACACAGCAGCCATACTATACAGCGTTCGCACTACAAATAAAACACGTTGGGGCCCATCTGCAGGAAACAACACAGTCTCAAAGTTGAGGCCACAGTCCCTACAAGGCCCCCAAGTGCCTGCTCCGGCCTCATCCCTACCAGCGCCCCCCTCACTCCCCCTCCAGCCACGTTCTCACCTCAGGGCCTTTGCACTGGCTGTGTGCCGAGAGCCCCCTCCCCCAGATAGCCGCATGGCTCACTGCCTCACCTCCTCCAAACCCCTGCTCCAATGTCCCCTGTGCAGTGAGGACCCCTCTAGGACAAGCCTTTCAACAGCTGCAGGCTGCCCCCACGTATTCCCGTCCCCCCGGCCTACTTTATGCCTCTCTGTAGCAATGATCACCTTGAACGTACTCTGTCTTTTGCTCTTCCTGTTTCTTGTCTACCTCTATCACCTAGAGCATCCCGGGTGTTCACCCCCCTGCACCTGGCATATAGTTGGGGGGGCGGGTAATGACCACTTTTGAATGAATGAACAAATTAACAAATCAGCCAGCTGCGGGGGTGGCCCGTGCTCCCCTCTCCTGTGAGGCTCAGCCCAGAGCCTGGCCGAAGTGGGAGGGCTGGGGGTACCTGTGTCCAGCTGCCGGGCCCGGGCCTGGTCCCTCTCCAGCCGCAGCGCGGTTAGCAGGAAGCAACCACCGGCCAGGGCGATGACGAAGGTGCAGCACAGGAAGCTCTGCTGAAGGCTGAGGAAGGACTGCAGGTAGGAGTCGGGGCGCCCGGCCCTCAGGGTGCTGGAGATCTGCAGAGAGAGGCTGCGTCTGCCAGGCCCGCCCGGCCGGCCAGCAGTGGCTGCCCCCCGCCCCCATTGGGAGCCACCCTTACAAGGCCAGTGAGGTAAGGGCTGCTGGCATCCCCCAGGATGTGGCCCACCGTGATCTGAAGCGCCTCTGCTGTCCCCCGGCACCGGGGCACCACCACGGACTGCAAAACACAGGAGTATCAGGGGAGATCCCCAAGCAAGGGCAGAGCGCGGGCACCCCTCATTGCCACCTCCTGCTCCCCGCTGGGACAGCCCGGAGCTGGGGCAGGCTGGCCAAGTCAGTGGGACGGAAGGGGGTCAGCGACATCCCACCGCTGGAACGTCAGGCCCCTCCGAGGGGTGGGGGTGCCACGGCCCCGGATGAGGGCCCCTCTCTCGAGGGCTTGCTCTGGGACCGGGCAGGGACCAGGCAGGGCTGTGACTGCAGGGACCGAGGCGGGAGTGCAGGCCGGCATGGGTGTGGACGCCCGGACGCAGGGCACGGAGGGCTCGGCCCTTCTCTCGGGAAGTTCAAGCCTCACTGGGCAGAGACCAAAGGCAGCCTTCCTGGAGAGACCCCCATGACCCCTGGAAGAGGCTATGAATTCTGGAGTCAGAGTGTCTGGGTTCCGATCCCAGACCCCCCACTCACTAGCTGTGTTACTTCACCGTCCGCATCCCCCAACAGGGATAATTACAGGACCTACTGGGGGATATGTTCATTATCATTCCTCATGCGGACAGCAGACCGAAATAATGCCCTGTGACCCCGGGAGGCAGAAAACTTCCAGACCCTTCTGCCCGGCCGGCCTGCCCCCCTCCGGTCCAGCCAGAGCATCCCTATTTGTCCTTCAGGACTGACCCTCCCAGAGTTCGGGTGCCTGCCCTACAGCCCATGTGCCCCCCACCTGCACATGACCCCCCACACTGGAAGGTTTCTCCGTTGTCCCCCCCCACCCCGACACCGTCTGGGCAGCAAGGCCCCAGTCGGACTTCTCTCGAGCTCCCTGGGGCACAACGGGGCACCAGGCTCAGAGAGGACTAGCCCGAAGTCTGCCCAGCAGACGAGTCCAGTAGAACCAGCCGGAAGCCTGGCTTGCCGCAAGGGAGGGGTTCAAGCAGCAGCCTCACAGTCCCAAAGGGGGGGCTCATCCCCAAGACCTAGGTGTCCATAACCTGAGCCCAGCAGAGATTAACAACCGGCATGTATTAGACGCTTCCCGTATGCATTTTGTAGATCTCATATATACATTCTCTTTACCCACTCAAGCACCCCGAGAGGGAGGCATGGTTATTATCCCCGGGTCACAGATGAGGGAACTCTCCCCAGGGAGGGAGGGTCACCTCTCCAGGGTCACCCCATGGGAGAAAGCAGGACTGGTATTCGCCCCCGGACCTGCTCCTCCAGGGTCTGTTAGAAGCAAGGAGGAGCCTGTCCGAGAGGCTGTGTGTCGGCTAGAGAACGCCTGGAAGACAGGACAAGCTCGCCCCGCCCTGCACGCGGACGACTGGCAGAGAGAGGGACGGGCGTTCCAAGGGGGAAGAGAGCAGAGGTGTGGGGGCAGGAGCCCAGCACCTGGGGGTCCCAAGACAGGCCGGTGAGACCGTGCCGCGGGGGTCCCTCTGTGGGGGACGACAGGGGGCCCCAGGTCAGACACTGAGCCACTCTGTCCAGGCGGCGAGAGAAGCTGGGCCTGCCCCCCTCACTGGGACCTGCCAACAGGCCAGAGAAGGAGCTGAGCTCGGCTTTGCACCGGCCCCGCGTGCCTCCTTCTTGACCCATAATTACATGATTACGCACTGCTGGTTCTGGAGGGTGGGCCCAGGAGACGTCCATGCCGGCGGCTTGGACCCTCAGAGTCAGGTCCCTTCCACGCCCCCAGGAAGTGCCAGGCCCAGACCAGGCTCTGCTGCCAGGGGCTGGAGCTGCGGGTCCCCAACCTGTTCCGTGGTATTGCTTCCATGTAGCCTGGGGCGGGGTGGGGGGGTGGCAAAGCTGGTAATTTTAGAAGTTAGAGGCTTTGGGTTCCTAAAACCGCAGGCCCACTCTATTCTGAGACAAAGCACCTCTGTTTCCGACTCTCCTTTCTCAGAAGACCCGTTCCCTTTTTAGCATGGGGCATAACCCGTGCCAACCAAGGGCCCGCAGAACGTCAGAGCGGCGACCACCAGGTACGGACTCCCTGGCAGCCTGCCTCCTGCACTGCCCACTCAGCCCTCACACCCCGCTGCACTGGGGAGGGTGGGACAGACGGGCGAGCAGAGCAGGGAGCACTGAGACTACTAGGGCCCGGGGGGGAACAGGAGGGTGATGCCCTCCAGGGGCCGGGGGAGCTCTGCGCGGGAGGCACCCAGCGGACAGACCTGACCTGGGAGAGCAGGTGAGTTCCGCTTCTGCTCTAGTCCCTGATGCTGGCGGTGGGTAGGCTGGCTCCAGGCTGCCCTCATGGGGCCCAGACACACGGGGGGCTTGCGAGACAGCTGGAGACAGCATCAGTCAGGGGGTGCAGGGAGCTCGGCCTGGGGGGACACAATCCCAGCCTCCCTGGGAGCTGGACCCTCCAAGGGGTCTGCCTCCGGAGGGCGGGGAGGGGGTGCTGGAGGTGGGTCTAGAGGGCCTTGGCTGTGAGGGAGCCAGACCCTTTTCCTCACTGAGTCTTCGGGAGGCAGGGGCTCCTTGGGGTTCAGGGAGTGAGCCTCCCATCAGAGGGGGATGGGATCAAGGACAGAGTCTGCAGGGGGTTCGCAGACTGGGGAGCTGGCTGCGCTAGACCAGTGTTCTCCGGGGGCGCTCTGAGGAGCGTCCATATCAGGACCACGTGGGAAGGTCACGAGAAAGGCACACCCTTGGACGCCCGCAGAGACCCACTGAGCCAGACCCTGAGGAAGCAGAATTTGCAACAAGCTCCCCAAACCTGGTTCCTACGCTCACTGAGGTGCGAGAGCCCCTGGACCAGACAGCTTTTGCAGTCTCTTCCCCAGAGAGTCTGGGTTCTCCTTGTGGATCAGAGGGCCAGAGAGAACGGTGTCCCTTGCAGACTGATGCGGGGCATGGAGCCACCACCGACCCCTTGGGAATATGCCCGCTGCAGGGCCTCCTGGCTCCTGGGCCCTCCTGTGCCCCCACACGCTGCCTGGCTGGATCCCACCCCCCTAGACCCCTCTCTGCGGTCCTGCCCTCCTGCCCCTGGGGTGCCTCACCGCTGGAAACCAACACCAGCTCTCAGCGATCCTCCGAGGCTCCCACTACCACCCGCCCTCCGTCCACACAGCTGCTTGCCCTCTGGGCCTCTGTCACCTCCCACGCCTGCCCCTCTGCGGCACACACCCCGTCCCCCACAGCCTGCCCCCCCACCTGCGTTTGGCCCAAGACCGCTCCCTCCTGGAGCCTCCCCACTTTCTCTGTGGGACGACAGCTCCAAGGACCGCAAGGATTGGTCCAGCTCCCACCACCAAAGGGTCTAAAGGCAATCTTCCGCTGAGGGGCTTCCGGAGGGGGGAAGGGGGTGCAGAAAGCCTTCCTGGGATGGAGAGACTCGCTGCCTCCAAGCCAGGGGAGGGCCCCAGGGAGCACCTGGGGGCCAGACACAGCTCCCCAGCCGGCCGCATGGGTCAGACCGCGGCTGCCTGCCCTGTCCCCCCGTGCCTGCCCCTCCCCGGCCCCCGGCACACGCACAGCTCTACAGAGGTCCTGCCAGGTTAATCATTCTTGCAAACACAGACACTGGGGGAACACGGCCACCGTCCTCGCATATCTGTGGGGCTGCCGTGTGGAAAGGGGGCAGCGTCATGGGGGCTGGAGGAAGATGCGGGGGCGGGTTTCAGCTCCAGCTGGACGTCGGAGATGCTGGGTCGGGGTGGTTAAGCTCCCCGTGCCTAACAGTGGGCAAACCCAGGGGAGACGTTTGCCGGCACATTCCCGTCTACTGAGGGCTCTCCTACAGGCCACCTGGCTCACCCTGCCAGGCCGGTTATGATCGCTCCTTTTTATAGACAAGGAACTGAGGCCCAGGGCCATTCATCGGGTCTGTGGCTGAGTCTGGGCAGGAGCCCAGGTCCTCGGGCTAGAGGGAGGAGCCCTGTAGCTGATACGCCCCCAGGGCGTCAAAGGGCAGCACTGTCTACACCCGCTGAGCCTGGGCCATGGGGTGCGGGGCAGAAGTCTAGGCAGGGAGTGAGCATCCCATCAATGGCAGTATTCAAGCAGGCCCAATGGCCCTTTCAAACTCAGCTTTGAGGGCTCAGGCGTCCTTTGGCAGCCAGGAGGCGAGAAGGGCAAGAGCCCTGGGGGGAGCCCCGGCCAGCACCCTTGTCATTTCACGCCCACGGTAACCCACGTGTATTTCACCCCGTTGTTCCCATGGGCAACCTGAGGCCCAGAGCCACACAGTGACTTGCCCAGGTCACACGCAGCTAGGAAGTGGCAGAAGCAGGGCTGAAGTCCAGGTGTGGGCCAAACCCTGGCACCGGTCACCTCAGGACGCTGTCAGCCCATCGCCAGGGTCCCTGGCTCCCCTGCGCACGGAGCTGGGCTATGCCAGCCTTCCAGGAGGCAGGAGGCGGCCCCTGGGGGTCCCCGGGTTCCGGGTCCTATGTTACGCACAAGGGCACAGCTCACTAGCATCCAAAGCCCTCCCCTGACATCTTCTGGAGGGAGGCAGGGAGGCTGGACAGGGAGGCTGGACAGAGAGCATGAGGCTCAGATGGGCCACAGCAGACTCTAGACATACCACAGTCACATGGTTGCGCCGGCACCAGGCCTCATAGCCCAAGCCGGCCCCTTGCCGGGCAGCCTGGACCCACCTGGCTCAGTGGCTATAGCCCTGAAGTCCCACATCCCTGTCCACACACCCAGAGCCTAGGCCAAAGAGCCTGCTTGCTAAGAAGTGTAGTCAAGGAAGAGGGGGGGCTTCAGACGGGGCCTGGGCTCCTGTTCTGGCTCAGTGGCTTTGCATGCTGTGTGACCTTGGTCCGGGCACCTGCCCTCTCTGAGTCTCCATCTGCTCATCAGCAAAATGGAGGTGATGGTCCGAGGATAAGTTTGAGTGTATCAGGATGACCTTGGACCCCTACCCCATGGTCTCAGAAGCCCCTCCCAGCCCTGAGCCAGACAGACTCCAGCTCCCTCCACTCAAGAGGCCCCAGGACCAGCACCCCCAACACCTACCAGCAGGATGTCAGCAACCACCGCCCAGTTGCAGGACAGAAGCAGCTCCCCGAGGGCCAGGAACACCTGTGGACAAGGCCTCCAGTCACCGACCCCTCCCTGCATTCTCTTCCTGCCTGCAGGGAGAAAGGGGCCGACGGGATTTGCCGGGGTAGGCGAGGCCTGAACTGTTTCTTCAGTTCCAGCAGCCTGGAGAGTGGGTGGACATTCCGGTCTGGGCAGGCTGGTGGCCGTGACCCAGGGGAGAGGGCCGGGCCCCCAGGCCCCCAGGCCCAGGCCTTGAGGTCCCTCCTGGGGCCCAGCAGGAGGGCAGTCAGGACTTCCAGGCCTGTCCAGGGCGCCTCGCCCCCATCCTGGCACCTGCAGGGCTGGCATAACCTTGCGTGCCCGGCCCTGCCCTGCCCCGTGTCTGCCGGGGACTAAGGGCCACCATGGACCTGTCTCGGCCAGTCCCTGAGCCCCCTGCCTCATGCCAGGGCATTAGGACAATCCTCATTCCACTCACTCAGGAAGAGCTTAATGAAGCAGCAAGAAGGGGGGGAAAGTCATTTCTCAGAGCTTCCAAGAGCTTATTGCTGGAGTGGAATTAGTCATTCCTGGAGTCACGGGGCTGTGCCCGGGTCAGCCTGGGCTCTGGTTCCCAAAGGCCTGCGAACACCCAGGGCAGAGGAAGGGAAGGAGCCTGCTCCTCCCAGGCACCAGCCCGTCCACCCTCTCAGCCACCCCCACTAACGAGGGTCATGACACCCACCTCCCAGGCCCGCACACCCTACCCCCTGCTCCTGGCCTTATGCAAGATGAGGCCAGCAGAGGGGAGTCAGGATGGGGAGACCTCAGGCGGAGGTGGCGCTAAGCAGAGCCCGGAGGGAGGGGCAGGACCGGCGGGGCCCCCCCCCCGAAGAGCCCCCAGGAGGCAGGGAAGGAGCTGGGATATGGGCCCCCTGTGCTGGGGGCCAGGGACGTGAGCTCCCTCCGTGCCACCAGCCCCCAGCCCTCCGCCCAGACTGGGGAACTCTGCGGCCCGGGCTGGGCACCCATGGGGTGGGAATTGGGGTGTTGCTGGGGCAGGTCTCAGGTGGCTGCAGACCCGCATTCCAGCCCGACAGGGTCTGCCACCCCGGCCTCCTGGGGCCACAAGAAAGCCGGGCCGCCCTCCCCGCCCTCCCCACCCCTAGACAGCCCTCCGTTGCTCCTCACACCCCGCACCCTGGGCCGAGGAGCTGGTCTCTCCCCGGCTCCCCCACACCCACAGGACATACTGAAATACACCTTTTCCTTCCTCCAGCTGGAGCGGGGTGGATCCCAACCCCAGAATAGAGCCCACAGACGGAGGCCACAGCCACAAGCTGCTGGGGATGCCAGGTTTCCTGAGACACACCTGGAAACCATCCGGTCACCAATCCTCCACGCGCGGCTTCGCGGGGTGAAGGCCAGGCTGGGAGTGGCTGCCTCTTGGCCCTGTAATTACAGAGGCTCCCGAGGCGCCAGGAGGGCTCTCCCACAAAGGGGTGGGCCACCCTCGGCCTGTGCTGCTATGGCCCCCGCGGGCCGCATGCAAACTGGGTCTCGGAGCTCGGGGGCTCCTGTGGCCAACTCGGAATCCAGAGAACACCCAACCGAAGGGGCCCCGGTTTGGGGCTGAGTCCCCTTGAGGGATGTAGCCCGCTGTTCACAGCCCCGGGCTCCTCCTGGACGCCCTCCTGTGCCCAGAAGGCCACAGGCGCCTCCCACCAGCCGGTCCCCAAGCCCTGTCTCTCCTCCTGTCGGCCCGGACAGCCGTGGCAGCCAGGACAGACCCCAGGACAGGCTGCCCCCAGCAAGCTGTCTGGGAAAACCTGCTACACCTGGCCACTGGGGCTGGACATGGGGGTGGGGGCTCCTACATGCTTGTGGTCCATTCTGCACCCTAATGTCGCTCAGCTCCACGGCTCAGCAACTCCGGCCGCGGCTGCTGGCCTGGTCCAGGCCTCCCCTCTCCTCCTCACCAGGTTCCCAGGCCCCGCCATGCCTCCCAACACCGGCCCCTGAGGGGACTTCCAAGTGGGAGGTCTGACTCTGCCCTTGTCCCCTTAGCGCCCTGCATGCTTCCCCGCACCCTGACTCCGTCCCCGGGTTAGAGGGCCTGGGAACGCTGCCTGGAGCCTGAGAAACGTGGAGCCCCTCAGCCCCTGGCCTTTTCCTTTCAGACCCAGGAGGATTTCCCCCTCGAGCTGGGGCAGTGAGGATGAATGTCCCTGGCATTAGTCACCCCGGCCAGAGACACATGCGCTCCCACTCTACGTGCCTCCCATGACTCAGGCACATGTGCTCACATACACTGCAGCCACACAAGTGTGCACAGACTCCTCACACATCTGCACACGTACGCGGACACACACAGCTCACACCACAAGTACGCACGTGTGAGCCAACAGGGATGACTTCCAAAGCAACACCACCGTGGCGATGGTACGGGCCTGCCGGGGTGAATGCGTGGGTATGCGTGTATTCTGGCGGCCTCGTGGACGTGTGCACACCTTGCACACACCTCTCCAGGTGCGCACACAGGTGGGCTTGGGGGGTGCGGGGAAGGCGGACCCCTGTGGCGGGGAGGGGCCAGTCTTCCAGCCGGCAGTAACTGAGCTCAGAACTGCGAGGATTGGATCCTAGGCCTCCCTCAGACCGACTCCATGCCCCGTGTGGCTAAGCCGGTCAGGACAGGCCCCAGGCACACGCTGGCTGCCAGCAAGCTACCAGGCCGGCTGGCACACTTTGCCCCTGGGCCTGCCAACCGGTAATTGCAGGGACTGGCTTCAGGGCGCGAGGGCACCGCTCAGTTCCCGGAGTCTGGCAGTAGCCCCAGCAACCTGGTAGGAAGGCAGGTGGGGAGCGAGGCAGCAAGGAGGCTGAGTTCTGCCGTCCTCCTGGAAAACTCAGCAGACTGCAGCCTCTCTGGGTGGGTGTTGCTGCCTGTCCAAGAAGAGACACCTGCTAGATCCTGGCAGGGAGCTACGGCCCTCAGAGCAAGGGCAGGTGGTCCCTCTTGGTCCCTCCCAGGCAGCCCCTGGCCAGGCTGGCTACTCCAGTTCAAGATGCAAGAGAAAGAGAAGTCCCCCAAGGACCAAGTTGTAGGAGAGCCCCCCAGAGCTGGGGCACCTGCCCAGCCCAGCTGTCTGGGCCACCCCAGGGGCCAGAGAATCCTTGCTGACCCTGCCCACCTCCTCCGAGTCCCCTGGGGGCAGCCGGCGGGGCAGATACTCCCATCCCTGGTCCTTGCTCACGAGTCCTCAGGGCTGAGGAGGGCAGCGTCCCCTCCCTGAGGGAAAGGCCTTGGTGAGAGCTGGCTCTCCTGGGGCGGGCGGAGACTCAGAGTTAGGATCTCGTTTGGGCTGGAAGGGGCATTACACATCATCTGGGCAACTCCTCTGTAAAGACAGAAGGCTGGACTGCATCGCAGGCTTCCCCTTCCCCCAAAAGCAAAAAACAGTAAGTCAGAAAAAACATGTTTTTCACCAAAGAAAAGAACAAAACCTAATGAGACAAACATTATATAATTCTGGAGTACAGAACTTCTCAGTCTTCCCAGAGCCCCCACAGTTGGAAGAAAGTGAACTGAGTAGAGGTCCTTTGTTCCCACCCCTAACTGGGGACCAGTGGGGAGGCTGCTGGGGAGAAATGGGGAAAAGTGGAGAAGATGAGCCATGACCCGTTACGGATTTCACTCGAGGCCAGAGGGGCTCACCGGGAAGGTAAGTAGGAGGACCCTGTGTGCGCCAGAGCCTTTACTTAGCCCCCAGAGGACGGTAGGGCCCAGGGCTCTGCCTGACTGGAGCCCCAGCGCGCAGCCCCAGTGCGGGAGGAATGGCCCCAGGGAAGGGTGGGAGAGCCTCTCTGCGGTGTTGAAGCAAGTTCAGCATCGCAGCAGAGCCGCTCACGCCCAGGCTCGGCACGGAGGACGGCGAGGAACGAGAGGGGCAGAGAAGACTAGGACTCCCTTACCAACAGACCCAGCCCCTTCCCAGCCCGCACGTTGGAAGGCATGAGCCGCCGGGCGACAGAGGCCCACACAGGAAGCACCTGCAGCCAGGAACCGGGGCCCTCAACCAACGATGCATAAGGGTCTGAGAGCTGCCAACAACCACCTGGGAGCATGGACATGGATCCCGCCCCGTCGGGCCTTCAGATGACACTGCAGACCTTGGGCCAGCACCCACCCCAGCCTAGGAGAGACCGTGAAGTGGAGGGCCCAGCCGGGTCCAGTCTGGCACCTGATCCCCAGAGGCTGTGAGAGAGCATGTGTGTTTCGTCTTAAACTGCTAAGTTGGGGGGTGATTTGTTACACAATAAGAGATAACTAATACGCTGGCTGAGCCATTGAATTTCAAGAATAAATAACGAAATCCTCAGGTATCCAGCTGGGAAAAATGAGTCAACATTAAGGATTTTTTTAAACATTAGGCTAACTAGGGGCGCCTGGGTGGCTCAGTTGGTTAAGCGTCTGACTCTCGATTTCAGCTCCCGTCATGATCTCAGGGTCATGGGATCGAGCCCCGCGTGGGGCTCCGTGCTCAGTGGGAGTCGACTTGGATACTCTCTCCCTCTGCCCCTTCCTCCACTCATGCTCATGCTCGCTCTCTCTGTCAAATAAATAAAATCTTAAAAAAAAAAAAAAAACCCCATTAGGCTAACTTTATCCTCCCCAGCAATATTTGATGCTAAAAGACAAGAGAAGAAATGCAGAGCAACAGGGAAGGAAACTGTGATCCAAGAGTATCAGACCCAGTTAGATGTCGTTCAAGGGAAGAGTCCAAGAGAAGACAGCCTCACAGACGAACAGACCAAAGGAGCAGTCTCTCTAGATACAAACTACTTCACCCCAGAATCCACCCAGGTAGGAGCTGAACCCAAATGAAGACCAGGAATGGAGGGTGGTGGGCACTGAACCCATTCAACCTGGGACTCCCCCAAACATCTGTGAGGGTCAGGCTTGGACTGTGGGGGTTGTAATCCAGCAAAAGTGAAAATAATCACGTAACATGAGCCGGGAGCCTGTCGAGAGAAGATGTGTGACAGACAAGGAGGCAGGTGCTGTCTTTCAAGGTCAGGATTTGCCACTAAGTCCAAAATCTTAAAATCGGTTTGAACTTAAACAATCCCTTTTACTTTGCTTCAATTTCTTCAGGTAAATTCATATAAATTAACTAAATGTATGATTCTATTTATGGGAAATATCCAGAATGAACAAATCTATAAGGACAGAAAGTGGATTAGTGGTTACCCAGGGCTGGGGTAGGGGTGGCTCGGGGAAACGGGGAGGGACTGATTAACAGATATGAAACTTCCTTTAGGGGTGATAAAAATGTTCCAAACTTGATGTGATGATTGCACAGCTCTGAATATACTAAGAGCCAATGAACTGCACACTTTGAAGGGGCGAATGGTATGGGCCGCGAATTACATCTCAATAACTCTGGTTTTAAAATTACACTACTATATGACCTCAGTTTAACAAAAATATTTATGGAAACACAAATTGGTGTACGTCTACAGAGACACATATGGAATGATGGTCACCTAATTAAAAAGCAAAAGCAGAAACAAACAGGCCCAGATGCTGAGAGCAGTCAATTCCGGGGATAAGAATGTGCATAACTGTTATTTTCCTCCTTGTGCTTTCCGCTTTGGCGTTTGCGTTCTACGTTTCCCGCAAAGGGAGATATGTACGTAATAGTGTGGCGAGCGGAACTGTCCGCCCCCCTCCGGACCCACACCCTGGCATGGAGCGTTCTGCCCAGCCGCCGTCCTCCCCTATGTGCACGCACACTCCTGGCGACCGCGCTCAGCCTCGCGGCTTCCCCTGACCGCCAAGACCGCTCTCCCGAGCTCCAGACCCAAACCTTGACGTTTCCAGCTAATGCCTGAAGAGGCATCTCGAATTATACACCTCGAGAATCGAATTCTTAATCCCACCCCCTCCGAAACAAAGCGCTGTCCCTCCCTCAGTGTGCCGGATCGGTATTTGGCAGTGCTGCCTGGGATGGCTTGCCGAAACCCAGGGTCACCCTGGCTCCCTCCCCGCTCTCCCCCGATACCCAACGCATAACCCGAACATACCCAGAATCTGACCCCTTCTCCACACTTCCTCCACCCCACCTGTGCCCACGCCGCAAGCAGCTCAAGCCTGTCTTACTGGAAAGCCTCCTCACGGGGTTCCTGTTTCTGACTTTGTTCTCTCTCACTCTACCAACAACACGGCCGCTAGAGAGGCCCTGTCAAATCACAGGGAAGACAGTGGCCATGCAGTGATCATGCATCTTGGAGCCCACACCCTGCACGGCCACGGTGAACCCGGCCGGCCTGCACCTTGCACCGACCGACAAGATACGGAGGCAGCGGTGCCGTTCCTGGCCTGGGCCTCAGGAGCCGTGGCAGCCTCCATCCGTGCTTCCCAGGAGCGCTGCCCTGAGACAGCCCTGTGGGAAGGCAGGCCACACAGCTGAGGATGCTTCCACTCAGAGGAGAACCCGGAAGCCCACAGACGGACAGGAGGGAGGCCAACGTGTACGTCCAGCCCACGCCTTCTTCCAGGTCCAGGCGGCCACGTGAATGAGCACGGGTGGAACACGCCAACCTGCTGAATCGTAAGAAATAGCAAATCATTGTTTTGGGGGTGATTTGTTATGCAGCAACAGGTCACTGTTACAAAACCACGAGTCAGATCAGTTCATGTCTGTGCTAGAGAGCCTGCCATGATTTCCCACTTCTCTCACACTCAAGGCCACGGTCCTTCTGTGGACAGGGCTCTGCACCCCACGGCCGTTGCCTCTGACCTTACGTCCTCTGCTCTTCCCCAGCTCATGCCATTCCCACCATGTTTCCTTAAGCACACCGGGCATGCTCTCCCCCTCGGGTCTCTGCATCGGCTGCTCCCTCCCCACCGTACCCCAATATCCACCCAGTTCCGTTCCTCATTCTGCTACTTAAGTGTCACCATCTCGGCAAGGCCTCGCTGACCACCTGGACTGGCCCCAGTCCCTCCTCTTGTACCCTTTCCCTGCTCTGTTAGTCTCCACAGAACATATTCCCACCTAACGGTGCCTGGCACACAGGAGGTGCTCAGGAAGTATCTGACAAGTGAGTGAACATTTCTGCTCATTCCCAGCCACCTCACCCTGCCGGGCTCTGCACCTTGAGGCCCTCGGGGCCCAGCAGCAGTTTGAGGGGGAAGACCCCACTCCAAGGTTTCTCACTTGTGAGGCCGGAAGAGCAGGTGAGACTAGAAGCCCCCTGAGGGTGGCCCACACTGTGGGGCTTCATGGCTGGGTGCCCGGAGGAGCCCAGATTATATTTACCCCAAACAGCCACTGAATATCCCCCTGTTCCCTCAAAAGCCCCATCAAAAAACTGAATCTCCCCTTGATTCTGAGCAAGAGCGTGGCTCGAGTGAAACACAGAAAGCAGCAAAAGTGATGCCGTGTAACTTTCAAGGGCTGGTCATAAAAGCAACGTGGCGTCACCGGGCCTTCTCGGGACCCTCGCCCTTGGGGGCCGGCCGCCATGTTGTGAGGAAGCCCCGGCTGCATGGGGAGGTCACGGGCCGCTGTTCTTGCCGACGGCTCCAGCATCCACCGCCTTTGATGGTCCAGCCCCCCTCCCCGCTCCACCCCCCCCAGTTAACCTCAAGTGGGAAGGAGAGAAGTTAACCTCCCCCAACCCACCCAAATGGCAAACTTGTGAGCAAAACAAGTGTTCTTGTTGTTTTAAAAGTGCTGGGTTTCATCACATCCCATAGTGACTAGAACAGGCATGGAAGCTCATTGAGCTCCTCAGGGAAACCAAGAGGTCGGGACTAGCACCCCATGTTACAGAGAACCGGGGCTCAGCAAGGCCAATCTCTTACTCCGGCTCATACAGCAGTGCAGATGCACGAACAACGTCCAGCTCTTCCTGAAGCCTCGATGCCCACGCACTCCCATCCCGACTCCTGCCCCTCCGTCTGGACCACAAAGCCCACCTGAGGGGGGTGGCTGACATTCAGCTGCGTCCTCCAGCCACTGGGCCGGTAATGGTGGAGCCCTTACTTTGGGCTCCGAGTATAAGCCTCTTCTCCTCTGAAGGGCAGTAGCTCTGGGAAGGAGGCCAAGGAAAGGGGTGTGAGCCAAGACCTGCTGTGTGTGTCTGGATCCTAATTAACAGCTGAGCAGCCCACTTCCCCTGCCAAGGGGCCTGGAAGGAGGGACAAGATGGAACACTCTCTGTGGAGGTGGGCTCTGGGCATGGGCTCCCCTGGGAAGGCCCCGGAACAGACTTCATGAGCTCAGGGAACCTCACTGCCAGGAAACATCCAGCACAGCGCGTCCCCAAATCCCTCCTCACTGAGCAGTGGGTCAGACACGCATGTGCACACAACACTTGGTGCCTGGACACACACGCGTGTGCACGCTCACGCACAGACCCCTATGTGAAACAGCACACACAGACATGCTCCTACACAGCACACACAGAATCAACCCACAGACACGTGCAATCCACATTCGGCACGACCACGGAGGCACACAGAGATGCATATACACAGGACACACATGTCCACACGCGTATCTACAGACCTGAATAGATTCACCCTATGGTGCACGCGCACGCGCACACGGGCCCGCCTTCCCAAGAAGCCAGATCCGTCTCCCCCGGACAGTCAGAGACAGGGCAGGAAGAACTGGTTTGGTTCCTGGAATCTGGGAAAGTGAAGGGATACATGGACGGACGGACAGATGGATGGACAGAAGAGCCACGAGTGACTCTTCCTCTTCTGAACACAAGTCAATCCCTCAGCCCTCTCTGTACACCCTTTCTGACATCGGCCCTGGATGTCCCCCAGATCTGCCGACGGTGCTTCCTGCTGGGCCGCAGCCAGTCCCCACCCGTTAGGGTTGCAGGGGTGACGTTGTGACCCCCAGCTGCAGACTCCATGTCTAAGTCCCCACCAGCATCTCCCACCACTGCGTCATCCAAACCCACTGCACCTCCACGGCCCTCTCCCGGTCTCCCCGGCGAAGAGGTCCCCGCGCCTCTGCGTTCTTTCACACCCCACACGGAGTCACCAGGACACCCCTCCAAGAATACTCGGGATCCACCCACGCCTCCCGCCTCCGTGGGGCAGCTCTGGCCCACGCCTCGCGGCCGTTGCCGCCCCATCCCTGTCAGGGCAATGGTCTAGCGCCGCCCACACCTGTGTCCACGGAAACCAGACTGATCCTACTAAACGTGGGCCGATAACCGAGGAACAATAGAGAAAATCAATAAAACCAAAGTTGGTAGCAAACTGACACCGACCAGGAAGAAAAGACAGGACACCGGTCACTGAAACCAGGGTGGGAGAGGCGCACGCCTGCCAGCCTCGCAGAGACTGGAAGGGGTTACTACGAACAACTGTACGCCAGCAAATCAGACACTTACACAAAGGTACGAACTCTTAGAAAGCCGCCAACTATCGAAAGCGACAGAAAAGAAATAAAAAGCCTTAACTGATGTATAACAAGTAAACACCGAGTCAGTAACCACAAAACTTCCCACAAACAAAGGCCCAGGACCAGATGGCTTCACCGGTGAATTCTCAAAATGTCTAAAGATGAATTAACACAAATCATTCCCAAACTCTTCCCAAAATGAAAGAGGAAGAAGGACTTGTCGGGGCGTTCCGTGGGGTCGCCGCCACAGCCCACGTCAGCCTCTCCGGTGGCGATGGCGTGGCACGACCAAGACAGGGTCCGCGCCAGGAACGCAAGGCTGGCTAACTAACACACAGGGCGATCAACGCACCGTATCGGTAAAGGACGAGCCACGCGGGCACCTCGACAGACCTCCCTCACTCTCAGCCCAAGCCGGTCCCAGCCAACGCACGCGGGCCCCGTGCAACCCCGACTCCCTGTCCTCCTGTCCGTCCCTCCTCACTGAGCACGGGGCCCCTGCAGTTCCTCAGACCCAGCAGGTGTGCGTCTAACTCAGGACCCTCACGACCCACACCAGCCCTCCTGCACCTCCCGCAGGACCGCCTACACGTCTTCGCCCAACACCGCCTCCTGGGGAGCCCGCGGCCGCGCAGATCCGCCCCCACACACTCCCAAGCGCTGCGTCCTCTGAAATATCGTGAGGCGCACTCCTTTGTCTTGCCTGCCCGCTGCCTCCCGCGGCAAGGATGTAACCCCCAAAGACGGAGGCGCTTTAGTCCTTATCCACTGCCGCGCCTGCCGCAGTTAAACCAGCACGCCCCTCTGCAGGCCCTCCGTGTTTGTCGAATGACTGAGTGATGTGAATGCCTGGCACTGTGTCTCGGGCCCAGCACTGAGGAAGATGGGAGCCGCCCCGGACCCCGGGGCTGGGAGAGCGGTCAGAGCATGAGGAAGACAGTGTGAGCGCGCCAGGAGGGGAGCGCGGGTGGGGCCCGGCAGTCAGGGAAGCTCCGAGGAGGGATGGGGTGGGGAGGGAACCAGGACGGGCCTGCCCGGGGGACGCGGCCACGAGGGCCATCCGGGTAGTTCCCCGAGGGCTTCGAGCGCCAACAGGAGGGGCCAGACTGGGTTCCAGAGGCACCAAGGAGCCCGGGAAGGTCTGCGGTGTCACTGGCCACGTGAGGACAAGAGACTGCGGTAGGTGAGCAGCAAGGCAAGCAGCCCGGGAGGGCAGCTCCTGGCCCAGGTCCCGGAGAAAGACAGAAGGCACGCGCCACGCCAGGCAGAGGGGACCCGGAGAGGAGCGTAGGCCTGCACGTGGCAGGGTTCTGCGACTGGTGCTGGGCGGGGGGGAAGGAGCCGGGGCCTGGCTCTCGAGCCCGAACAACGGTTCAGCGTCAGAGGCACAGACGGAGGCACGGAGTGGGCTCCTGCTCAGGAGGTCCGGAGGGTCCGCGCTGCTCCCGGAAGGCTGGAGCCTGGCCTGGGGGCTCAGCGCCGCCGGTACCCACCAGGCCCCAACACGAGCCACGGGAAGGAGCGGCTTCCCAGCACCAGAGGAGGGGCACGTCCGGGGCCTGCCCGCCGTCCTGCCCCACAGCCCTTCACCCCTGGCCAGGCCTCAGGAAGAGTTTCTCCGGCTGGCTTTGTCAGCCAGGCGCAATGTCACTTCCAGACGAGGCATCCAGCTCTGGAGATGCGCCCGGCTGCAAAGGGGGAGACAGCTGTGTCCCCTAAACACAGCCAAGGAGCTGCCTCCCAGAGCCAACCGAGACCGTGGCAGAAGCAGGGCTGGCAGGGGTCCGCGGCCCCAGCCGATGCAGGGACAGGCCCGTGATGGGCCTCCATCTGCCCGCAAGGTCGGGCCCATGCAGCCCCGACTCCGTCTTCCGCTCCCTCCGCCAGGATGTCAGTGGGCACCCAGGCATTTATTAGCGCCTAGTGTATGCCGGGCTCTGCTCCGCCCCCTGGGGGGCGACAGGGTCAGTACGGCGTCTGCGGGCTGAGTCTCCCTCTCATCTGTCCCACTGTCCGTGGTGCTGTCTCTGGGCCTCAGTCTTCTGATCTGTAAGTGGGGGTGAGAAGCCCTTCCCCGCGCGCGTGCCGTGAGGGCTACACAGGGGCACGCGCAGAACGCAAGCCAGCAGGGCCTGTCTGCTCTCCAGGGATTTTGGCAGGAGCCCACGCGCGGCTGGACACGGGCAGGCAGCACCCGCACTGCGAGCGACGTACCGGCCCCGCCCTCAGGCCTCGGGAGAGAAGCGCCCCCACCCCGGCGTGTAGAGCGCAGGCCGCGGAGGGTTCATTTGAAGAATGCGGACGCTGGGGAGGGGCTCTGGGAGGCCCACCCCCAGACTGAGGACGCCAGCAACATGCTGACCTTCCCGCGCCAGAGGGCACCGTGGGGGCACCCCAGCACGTCACCCAGGAGCGCGAGGACAAGCGAGCCGAGGCCCGTCCCGAGCACATGCAGGGGTCTGACAGACGCCACGGAGGGGGAGGGCCCGAGGGTCACGAGAGGGGACCGGCGACAGGGTCCGGGCAGGAACAGCCGGAAGGGCCCCCGCGGAGCCGAGCGGAGGGAAGCCGTGCCATGGAGGCGACAGGGTCACCTGCACCAAGAATCAGACGATGCAAATACCAGAGCTCCCAAACCCACAAAGCACCCCCGAGCGCAGAGCTCGCCAGAGTCTGGGCCACGGCAAACCGACCCTGGACTCGGAGAATCCTGCCCCATCTCGGGCCGTCCTCGCCCAGACTGGAGGGGAGGGGGCCGCCCTGGGGAACAGAGCGGAGGTGGGCCGAGCGGGACCAAACCAACAGCAGCTCCCTCTTGCCCCGGTGCCATGATCTGGGCCTGGACAGAGAGGACTGGGAAGCAGAACCAAAGTTTGGGTTGAAACGGGACCAGGCTTCTTAGTTCACGAGTGTAACTGAAGACCTGTGGGGTCTGGTCGTGGGTAGGACACTAGTAAAGCCGTTAGTGATTTGCCTTCTGAGTCCAGCCTGCTCAGGGGCATCTGTATCCATGACGGGGGACCCCAGGACCTTGGAACGGGATGGGAGGGGGAGGGGAACCCGTCTGGCGGGGGCAGAATCACAGGTCCTTTCCCATCGGGTGAGACCATCAGGGCCGGGGCGTGGGGAGCCAGGGACACTGCTGGGCACATGTGTGGGGGGGGTGCACACAGCCCCCCCATAACCACGGTGCCTGAGCCCAAGCATGAGCAGAGAATGGTCTGGAAAGGCTCTTGGAGAAGAAGCCTTTGCGCTGGGCCCTGCAGAAGGAGAAGGATTCAGGATGCCCAGGAGGGAAGGGTGTCCTTGGCAGAGGCTGGCAGGTGTGAGCCTGCGGCTGGAGTGGCCACGCTGTGGCCCTGGTTGACCTGGCTCACCCTGGCGACAGGATGCATGGCATAGTGTCAGACCGGCCCCTACAGGGGCCATGGCCGATCTGGCCCTCACTCCTGTCGTCGTTCCTTAAGTCCCCTCGAGCTCACAGCATCCTCGAGGAATGAATGAGTCCCACTGTCTCCAGCCAAAGTGTTAACCAGCGGCTCGGAGGACACCCTCTAGAGTCAGAGAGGCTCAGGCTCAAATCCCAGTGTTCTGTTCCTTCCCAGCTGTGCTACTCTTGGTAAACCTCGATTTGCACATCTGTAAAATGGGGGTACCCAATGCTCCCCGGGAGGAGGGAGAGACAGAAGTAGAGACCAGGCACAGTATCGGCCCATGGACGGGAACGACACACCAGGCCCCCCCCACCGCCCCAGGGGCCCTCACTTACATAGGAGGCCAGAAGAGTGACCGGGGCCAGGATGAGAGCCAGGTAGAGGCAGGGGGCCGCAATGAGCAGGCTACAGGCACAGATGAGGGACTCAGCCCGCGGGTTGACTTTCTTGTACCTCCTTGAAGCCTCTGCTCCCAGGACCACCCCCATGATGCCAGTCACCACAGTCAGAATCCCAAAAATCAAGCTGAGGACAAAGAACAGAGCAGGGTCAGTCAGCCAGGTGGCGTCAGCCCTGCTGGGGGGCTCAGCCCCCAGGGCAGGACCCAGTACCTACGGGGACTGTGGCTGTGAGCCCCTCCCCGTCCCTCCGAGCCAAGGCTTCTGGGGCCTCAGGGTCCTGGCCAGGGACCCGTTTCCTCGCCTGCCCCCATCCCCATTCCTGTCTCACCCTGGGGACATCGCCGGCCATGGGGGTGACTGGCCCAGCATGCCTCACCTCCAGTGAGCTGCTCCAACCTCTCAGCGGCCCAAACTGCCCCCCAATTGCCCCCACTCGGGCCCCAACCTCCTCGCCTTCTCGCCCCCAGGTGAATGGGAATGGAGGCACAGGAACATTTATTTCCTGAGCTCCTAGGATCCCCCGGCCCTCATGGAGCTTTGCCCACGCCCTCCTGAACCCCGCTGTTCCATGCAGTCTTGGCACCCTCTCCAGCTGCCCCCTCCTAACTGCACTCCCAGTCCCTCCTTCAGCTGCACTCGGCCCCCTGCGCCCGCCCCTGGGGAAAGCTGTTCCTCCAGAGCCGACTCCCTACGGGTCCCCTGAGGGTGCTTTCTAAAATACAGATCTGCCCCACCCCCACCGAAAACCCTCCACCGGCTCTCAGACACCCACCGGATTTGTGCCAACTCACTATGATGAACGTGGCCCTTCAGGGTCTGACCCTGGTTGATTTCAGCCCCATCCCCCAGCTCCAACCTCTTCTGCCCCCAGACGAGTTTCTGTCCCTCCTTCAGACTTTCACTTCTCCATCTGGACACTTGACTAGTTTCCCCCCCCCTACCAAACTTCTACTCATCCTTCAAGACCCCCCACAAGTATCCCCTCTCTGGAGAGGCCTTCCCCTGCCCCTCTGCAGATTCCTTCACTCCCTTCAGCTCCCAGAGCACCTTCTGTTTCCACCATCAAGGTCGTTCACCAGACTGTGACGTCCTGGAGGACAGACACTGGGTTTGGCTTACTTTCTTGACTCCGCGCTAGCAGCACAGACAACCGTGAGCACACGAGCTCATGGACCCGTCCCAGCACTCCCAGAGCCCGAGCTGGAGTCCTGGGTCCTGGAGCTTCCCGCCCTTGCTGCACCCCCTCACCCTGGGGCTTACCCCAACCACGGAGGCTGTATTAATAGCAGAGGTGGGTGCAGAACCCCGACACCGGGACTTCTATCTACTCTGTGGCAGGCTGAATAACGCCCCCCAAGATGTCTGTGTCCTGATCTCTGGAACCTGTGACGGTTACCTTCTACGGCAAACAGACTTTGTCACTGGGATTACGTTAAGGGTCCATATTCGAGGGGCCCTACAGGCAACCACAAGCGTCTCCATGAGAGGGAAGCCGAAGGAGACTTGAGACACAGAGGACAAGGCAACAGGACCATGGCTGCAGAGACCGTGGACACGGCCACAAGCCAGGGCACACCTGCAGCCCCCAGAGGGGACGAGGCAGGAGGACAGTCCCTTGGGGCCTCGGAGGGGGTGCGGCCTTGCAGAGCTTGGCTCTGGCCTGGTGAAAGCACTCTGGATGCCTGGCCTCGGGACCTCGGAGAACAGTTCTGTTGCTCTAAGCACCACGCCTGTGCCACTTGCCACGTGGGCCCTAGGACGTCGTTGGCCACACAGGGTCCGTGGAGAAGCCAGGTCGGAGACGAGGCTGAAGCTGAGAAAGGGGAACTGACTTGCCCACGGATGCAGAGCCAGCGAGCGCCAAACGAGAACGTGAGTCCTGTGACCCCCCCCGCCGTGTGTCCAGGCTGCCACGGGACACCCTCCCCCCGTGTGTCCAGGCTGCCGTGGCCCGCCCCCGTGTGTCCAGGCTGCCGTGGGCCTCCCCACCGTGTGTCCAGGCTGCCGTGGGCCTCCCCCCGTGTGTC